CTTGGGTGAATAGTGTTAGAAATGTTACAGCCATTTTAAAGCCAAGTTATAAAGTTGGCCCCCTCCCCACTCCCGCTAGTTACTCTATGGCTCGTGGGGAATATTGGTTATACCAATATGCTGTTAGTTGATCAGTGCTATCATTAAGACACTTACTTTGAGGCTTGACATTTTACTATTCCTAATTATTATTTTTTTGACAAAGATTAATCTTTTTATGCAGTATATGTTGTAAAAAAAAATTAAATGCCCTTGAGAAGAATAACTCTTCAAAGAGATGGAGAAAGAAGCAGCTCAAATCCATTTTATTCTTCGCTTCAACCTTGAGTAAAAAGTATGTGTGTTCCATGTATTTATTTTACGTCATCTGCTTCTTGCTGGTAGATAAGCTTTTCAAGATAAGACTAAAATTTGATGTTTTTAAATCATGAATTCTGAATATAGGTATAATGCTAATGATCATTTATATAATGATAATTCTCAAAATGGACATGTCTTAATGAGGAATTCAGTTTTTAGACCATATTTTATCTGTCAAAAGAATGTAAGTATTGTTATGTTACTTTATCCTTTAAGATCCAGAACTAAATGGAATCTACCAGTACAAGAACATCCTGTCACAGGTAATGGGCTTGAAATTGGGAAGTTAATAGTGGGTATATGTGGGAGATTTTAAGTGACATGAATATTAAAGAAAAGATTATAAAGATACAATGTCAAAACAAAGCAGTAATTCATGAGAGAAAAATGATTGAAAGCATTTTGTGACTGTAAATTATTTTAGAAAATGTGGAATTCTCTTTGTTATGAGCAAAATGTTAAATATTCATACCACAATGCTCATTTAGCAATTGTAATCAACAGTCTATAAAAGTATTGTGAAATGATCAGAACATATATTACTGACATGTGTTAAATACAAATTTCACTAAAATGAAGTGTGGCATGTTCAATTAAGTTTAATTTTGACCAATTTACATGTAATTATTTCAATTTTAAGGGAGCTTTCACCAGATACAGATTTCACAACTTGTTTATTCACTCGTCTACATTTTTGGCAGGGGGTCAGTGTTTTAAGTTTTCTTAGATTCACCTATGAGCACCCGCCAGATCCTTTGCCAGTGGCAGCTTTTACAGGGCAGCTCAAACAAAGGTGAAAAGTCACTTGCTCACCCTGGACCTTGAGATTTCTGCCCAGACATCGTCTCCGCAGGCCTTCCCCTACAGCCTCGTCTAAATTAGGTTCCACAGTAATTGCCGTCAGCGCTTGTAGGCCTCCTTTGAAGGACTGATCACCACTTGTTTGCTTGTCTACTTATGTTAGATCTCTGTCTCCTGCATTGTAAGCTTGATAAAGGCTGTTTACATGTCTTCTTCGTTGTAGTATCTTCAATGCCTAAAACATATTAGATGCCCAACAAACAATGTGAATGAAAGAGACATGTATTAATTAAGGTAGCAAGATCTATAGGAGATAAATCCTAAAATTTTGGTGGCTTAGAGTAAATAGGAGCTTTTTCTCAGTGACATAAAGTACAATTGGAGTGAAACAATCAGCCAGTCTTAAGAACCAAATCATATAGACCCATTTAGATACAAGAGTACATGTTAATATGTGTTATAAAGGTATGTGTAATACACATGGAGTGCTATAGACTGAATGTTTGCGTCCCACCTCCAAATTTCTATGTTGATACCTAATCCCCAGTGTGATGATTAGGGGGTGGGGCCTTGTGGGGTTGATTGGGTCATGAGGGTGGGGCCCTCATGAATGGGATTAGAACTCTTTATGTTACTTCAGAGAGCTCTTTTGGCATGTGAGGGCACAGCAAAAAACAGCTATCTATCTATGAACCAGCAAATGGGCCCTCACTAGACTCCAGAACGGCCGGAGCCTTTATCTTGGACTTTCCAGCCTCCATAACTGTGAGAAACAAAATTCTGGTGTTCTTACGTCACTCAGTCTCTGATATTTTTGTTATAGCATCCTAAATGGAATAAAACATGGAGACACATACTAACACATGGAGGTACAGGTTAAGAGCTGAGGAAGCACAAGGATGGATTAATGGGGGGAACAGAGGACATTAGGGTCTTAAATCACAAACTGGAATGTTCTAGGCAAAGAGTTTTCAATAGAGAGCATGAAGCTGCAAGTAATCCAAAGGACTGAAAGTGTAATAAAAACTATAAAAGAAAGGACTTGTAGACCTAGCATCTTAACTTTGAAAGAGAGGCCAGCAAAGCCCTGCTCGTGGGTAAGCTCACTAGCGAATTGCTACCAATCAGCATCTATTTCACATTTCGTTTACCTTTAAATTAAAAACAAAAACAAAAACAAAACCTTCTTTATAACTGTTACCATTCCTTCTTTTTTTCTATATGTGGCACAAACCCGCAGATCTGGATGTGGTGGGCAGAGTCGTTGGAGAGTCGTAGAAGTTGTACTGGTCAGGTGCCCGTGCTCAGGTTATGAATGGGAAACACGCTAGCAGCCTTGGGGAGAAGCAAGGAGAGAAGGGACATGATGGGTATGGCATAAAGAAGGCAGTAGTAGTAGTTATGAAAGCAAGACACAGGGTACTTCTGGAAACCCTGCTGTTTTAGGGGTAAATGATGAACTCACACCTGATCAGCAGACAGTAGCTCTGCAGAAGTGTAGTCATGTGTCTGAGAGAGGAGGACATCCGGCCCTTGTCCACTTGTGCTACTTTAACTCTGAGTAAATAAAATACACTGCGAATACTTGACTAATAACTGGGATTTGCAGAATCGATAGCTTTGTGATATAATCTGCAGATTAAATACATGCATTTTTTCCTATTGAGTAAACCTCAACTGCATCAATATCTCAAGGATGCATTTAAGTGAGAAATTTTAGGCTCCTATGGTAGTTTGCCTTAATTGAGTTGAAACACATTCAAATCATGACGTTGGTCCTTGTGTTAGAGAAGATTCATCATGGTGTTTACGTATATGTCAAACACAGTCCCAATAACTGTGTTTGTAAGTACACCTAAAGTAAAACAATCAACTAACTCATAAGGATTTTCATGGGTATTCTTCATTCATTTCTTTATTCATGTAATTATATTTTTGGATTCTAGTTATTATTTTTTTTTCTGTTTAGCACTTTGCCAGGTTTAAAAAAAATAAAATAAGCATAGGAAGTGGCCCTTAAAGAAAGTTCAGTATAACCTTTGGGAAACTATATGCACTTAATGAATTAGAACTTAGAAAACATTTTAGCCAGAATGCATTTGTGAGCATGTGCAGAAGTCATTTCAGTGTCCCTCTTATAAAAAGCAATGCACAGTGCTCCTCTAGGACCCAAAGCTTCCAGGAAATAGAGTGCACTATGAGTGGCTTTGATGTTAATGATTGATGTGGTCTAATAAAATTTGGATTTGGGTAGAGATATATTTTTAAAAAAGAAAAGTTCTATCGAACATGCACCTGTATATAGTACTGCGATATATCAGTCTAATGTAAGACTAAGCACTGAGCAACTTTGTTTTTACAATTACAAAAGTATTCCTTAAATTTACTATTAATGCATTGAATGAGATTATTGAGGCAAACACTCATAATGTTACTCCTGAAATAACATAAAAAGGCTCATCTGGTTCAGCAAAATATGCCAATTACTAAAGGACATCTTTTCTACTCTGAATAGGTTCATTATAGAATCCTGGAATTTTTACTGACTTTGGTGTCTGATATACCTTTGACCAAATCAGAAGCCAGTTGAATAGAGTGTATAGTAGGATTTCTTTTACGGAAATAAAAGATAAATTTAATAAAAATGATAAAACGAACTCTTCTGTGACTTAAGTGTTCCCATTACTGGCTAGTCACCTTCCTGCCTCATAAGATACATCCAGCAACACATGGACATGTTTCTCAATACTTGTCCATTGTGCATAATTTCAGTTTGGCATTGTATGCTGTAGACACTCTTGCTGTCAACTAATGTCTCTTCCTTCATCATTGGTCTTTGCCTTCGTCATTGGTCTGATAACTTGGAACAACTTATCTGATCATGATCTCTGATTTCTCTCCGAGGTCATGATTTTAAATTTGCCTGTCAATTTACTGCTTTTGGCCACCTTAGGTAAACATTCCACCTGAGCTGTTCCTCCCCTACGAGATTTTCTCTTTACCTCTTTGTTACATCTCTCATCTGGTGGAGCAGACCGTGGGCAAGTTCTTCCTCTTTGCGGTATAATTTGACATTGCTAGTATGTGGAACATTAGCTGTTTCAATTACCGTAGGGATTTTAGGTTTCCTAATCATAAAAATAATAAAAAAATAATTTAATTAAGTGATATTTAAAATGCAATTAATTTTAAAAAGAGGACAGCAGTAGTTACAAACTCGATCTCTGTTTAAGAGAGGCTTGAAGTTCTTAGATGACTCGAATATAACATATTGCTTCTACATTCTTTTCCAACTACATTATGGCTCTGAGTAAATGATCTTCCACCTAATGAAGTAAAATTGCAAAATTGTGCTCCGTGCTTGCTCGTTCTGGGAGATTTCTTGTTGCCACCAAGGAAGTTATTCAAGGTATATGTCAAAGTTACCGGATTGAGATGAATTGGTATGAACTACAATCTGAGGACTACGAGAGATTTACCAATGTCGTTGTGTTACCACAGTCTAGTGGAGAAGCTTTTGTGAGTTCCTGTAAGTCAAGAGCTGGAGGCAGGAGAAATCATAACTGCATGGTCACAGGTACCATGAACCCCTCCTTCCTCTGCATGTCAGCAGTCTCCTTGGCAACACATTTTCTCTCTTGCTTTTGGAAATTGTTTTCAGAGCAGAAACAATTTGGGTTATTTTAGCAATGCAGATGACTAAAACCAAGGCCAAGAGATAATTGTTTTTCTCCCCAGTAGGAAAAAAGCTCTCCCATGAATGTAAGTTAGTCATTAATTGAGCATTTCACTCATACTTGATACATTGATTGGCTTCTGTGATTCATGCTGAAGTCCCATAAGCTGAGCTTGAAAATACCTTGGAAACCCAAGTGACTCTGCCAGGAAAAAGGACAATTCAAGATTCATTATAAGAACCAATTCTAGGAAAAATAAATGAAGAAGTAAGTATGGACCATTTCCTGCTTTCTTTCCTGTTAAACAGAAGAACCACAATTTTGTTAGTTACCCCTTAGAAAATGGAAGAGCGCAGCACCATAATTATTTCACATTTTTAAAAGAACACAAGTTTGCTGAGACTCTGTAAACACTAAATTTGAAATTACTGATTAAAAAATGTACTGTGTCAACCAAAGTTTTTTTCTTAGCGTCTTGAAGTTCAAAGAGGAAATGTATTTAAGTAGATGATCATTTACATAATCCTTGACACTGTGAGTACAAATGAGGTGAGACCAATATTTCCTGGGCCTCTGGATCCAGCTGGTAATGCAGCATCTTTAGCATCCAGCAACACATGGACATGTTTCTTGATAGTATCTAGTTTAGAGGAGATAGGCAGATATGAAATGATGAGAACAAATCAGCAGTATATAATTATCTAATTATCTGCCAAAAAATGATATGGACTACAAGAGCAAGGGAACTCAGAGATGGGAGAAGATAAAGTGATTCTGAGTAGTTAGGGAAGATGTAAAAGAAGGTCTTAAAACATATTTTGATATGAATTTGATAGAGGTGGAGTGAGGGGGAAAATATTTCAGTTAGGGGTGTGTGTATGTGTGTGCGTGTGTTCACTATTGGAGATGTAGAGTAAAGGATGTAAATAATGAAGAAACTTAGAAATTAAACAGAAGTATTTGGCATTTATTTTCGGGACAGCAAAGAGCTATGAGACAATAATAGCAGTATTTTCATCAGGTCATCAAGTGCAGGATAAACCGGAAGAAAAGATGGCAGAAAAGAAGAAGAGGCTATGTAAAGACCCATTTCTACAATCCAGACGTGAGGTAATATGAGTCTAGATAAGGGTAATGGCAGTGCAGTAGAAAAGAAAGGATGGAAAATTTGAATACATTGAAGTTAGCAATAAGAAGATTTGTGATTATATGTGAAGAAAAAATAAGAGGCAATGATCATTTTATCAAAATAATATACAGATTGGGATGAGAAAATAGTTTTTGATGAGAAATGATTAACATGATCAAAAAATAGAAGAATGGCTTTTAAACTGTGTTTTATGAATTATTATAGTATATTAGAAGCATTTTAGGGTTTATCAAAGTCATAGAACATAATATAAAATTAACTATTAACAGATTTTAATATAAAATAACACATTCACTTAAACACATGATGTAAACTTGAACTCATTGGAGGCCACCGATGGCATTAACTTGAGCCTCCATGCTAACTTACTCTTTGTGCAGGCTTCAGAATAAAGCTGCTGCATGTTCCCTTTGTATGTTCAAATTTAGAATTTTTATGAAAGTATTGTTGAGAGATTGTTGTTTTTCAATTGTCTTTTTCTGAATTTAAGTCTGCTAAAATGGGCACACTGTAGATCTATACCATGCATGCAAAACCAAGCTATGGAAGTATACATCTACTGTTATCTGTAACTCTTTAAGTATATATGTATGTAACAAAGTGACCTAATTGTCACATTTAAGAACTTCGTAATAAGTATGTACTATTCTGTTAGCTTTAATCTGATAAAATATCAGGTTTCCATTTAAGACTTAATGTAGAAAGAAATGTGTTTAGAAACATTTAAAAACTACTGGTTTAGAAGTTTGAAAGTTTGAAAGTTTGAAATTTTGATGGAACACAGACAAAAGTAACAAAAAACTAGGAATGTTGGATTAAAAAATTTTATTGACAATTTTAAGACCAGTGGTAGATCTGAATATAACTTGGATCGAAACTGTGAGAGTAAATGGGGTCTCTCAGTGCAAAGAGTGTTTTAGGAGATTTCTAAGGATGTGGAGTGTGAGAAGAAGCAGAATCCAAGGCTAAAAGAGAGGAAGTCGCGGGGCTGGAGGTGTACCAGTCCTTAAGCACATTACATTATTGTGTCTCACTCTGAGAAACCACTAAAAGAGTCTCGATCTCAACTGAAAACTCTAAGAAAAATGTCTAGACAATAAAAATTAAACTCCACAGAAGGTGGTGAAGAGGAAATCTAAAATGTGTGTTAGAAGTGGAGGCCCGACCCAAGGGAAGTACATGCACTACATTGCTTCTATGATAAAATGACGATTCAAAAGAAAACGTAGTTAATATAACATCTTTTCTGATTGATGAGAGAGACAGAGTCAGAAAGAGGGAGAGGGAGAGGGAGAGAGGATTCCATTTAATATTTGAGAGTCAAACAAATCCTCATGACATATTTCAAGTCTATAATATCGAGGTTGGAGATAGATAAGAAATAAATAATAGAGTGATATTCTACCATACAACGACAAGTTAAAAACAATAGAAATGAGACAAATATAACTGGATAAAACTGAGATTAAATGAAAGAAAAATCAGAGTAATTAAACACATAGAAGCTCATAATAACTAGAGTTCTTTCATGATGAAAATGAAAAGGCAAACCAGGGGAAAAATGAGTGGATGTTCAGGTCACACAATGAGGCACATAGAAGGGGAAGAAGAATTTCAATGAAATGATCCTTTTCCATTTTCCGTGCTGTAAGAATTACTTTTATTTTTGTCCCAGATGTTGAGAACACTTACACTCCATTAAAGATCCCAGGCAGCTCTTGTCAGAATTTATATTTTTTCACTCTCGATTTTTTTTTCTGATTGGAGGAAATATTTTATCTTCTACCTTAATAAACTGTGTATAAAACTTGCTATTGAATTCTGGCCTCTTTCCTGCAAAAGACTTAAGAAGTCATTTTATTGGGCTTTGGATAAAGTAAATGCTTCTCTTTCTGTTTATGCAATTTTAAAAACTTGTTGCTTTTTTTCATATTGTGATAAGAGTAAGTTTGCATCGTATAAAGATTCTTTTTAAACAGATCTAATATTTATGTACAAAGAGAGAAAGAGAGAGGTCAATTGCATAGGGTGTGTTTCTTGGTGTGTTTATGTGTATGTAAATATAGAGTCTGAGGGTCTCTGGTGATGATAAAGATAGATTCTTTCACTCAGTAAAGCTTAATGTGACACTTTCTAAGGATGGCACATTTCACAGTAGCACACATGCACATAAATTGCTTCCTGTTAAGCCTTGTCTAAACCAAGCTTTGGTTTTGAGACTTTCCAGTCTAGAGAATAAACGCAAAGCACTCTAAGGCCATAATCACATTAAATTCTTTCAACATTTTCTTAAGGAATGTACACAAAAATAACCTCACCTTGGAGCTGGAAAAATTGAGTCAGAATGATGGATAGTCCTTTCAAAGTTATAACATAAATCTGAAATCACACACCAAAAAACCATCACTAAATTCCCACTCTTCTGAGCCTACTTGCAGGTTCAGTGTAACCCCAGCCCCTAGAACCGTTTCTGACTGTAGACCAAAAGGATTTATCTAGTGCTGTGATCTGGGACTAAACCATTCAAAGATAAATCTGATGTTCACTTTGTGCACTAGTTCTGATAACCTCTCCGGGACTATACCTCCCAGAACCTTCAGGACCCTGCTTTGCCATTTTCAAGCTTCCTTGAAGACTGGAGTTCTTGCCTTGAACCCCAGCCCGATGCCTGGGTGCCCTGCTTCCTGCCGCCAGACCTCTGGCTAGCAGGTTTCGCATTAGCTCCTGTTGTTCTGCTCTTCTCACTTGGGGAGGCATGCCTCTGTGTCCTTTGGGACCTGCAATGATTGTCTGCCTGGTCTAAAGCCTTCTATCACCCTAGCCCACCGTAACAGTGGTTCCAGAGCTTCAGGTCCTGACTTCCACTCATTGTGCTATAGATTCCTGCATTCTCCTGACCATGTCCTCATTTATCGCTGCCTTTTCAGTTCACCCAGTATCTCCTGATATTGATGGGAAATGTAATTGAAACAAAACAGTATCCTTTTTTAATTTTACATTCAATTTTACATTTTTATAATTCAGGATAATTAGAATAAGGCTAGCCTATACTTCAAGATAACATTAATTCAGGACAAAAGTCTGCTAAACAAAATACTAAGGCATCAAGTAGAATACTTAAATTTCATGAGAGAATAAGCTTTTCAAACATATTCAAGATCTTTTGACTTATTTACACAAACTACTAATGTATTCCTTGGGAATCTCATGTACTCAAGGCACTTTCTCTAAGGAATACTTTTCAAATAAATTCTACTTACTTCATTTTTTAATAAGATTATTTGTCCTTTAAAATTGTTTACAGATGTATTTTTATTGATCCTCATCAAATAACCTGCTGTTTCCTCTTCACTTAGTTAAAATTAGCAAGAGTTTATTGAAATAGTTCAAAACTGTTAATCATGCCAACATTTATACATTTGTGAATTCATAGAAGCATATGTAATAGAAAATCCACAAGAATTAACGTCTCAGTTTGATATAACTGCCAAAGATAGGTAAAAATATTTTTCTGTGTGCCATTGAAACTTGTAATACTTGAGCAATGCTAAAACATGTTTAACCTAATTGTGTGGGGTTCAGAACATGGCTATCTTAAAATTCAGAAATCTTTCCTTCATATTCTTTCTGGTTATCATTTCCCTGTTGTTTTGAGACTTTGCATTAAGAATGGACATAGGGAAGTAAAGGAGCCGAAGGTACTGGAAAGTGTGTGAATGAGGCAACATTTGAACCCCCAATCTCATTAGATGTCACAGTGACTCCCTGCATTTCATAGCTGAGGACTCTTCTCTGCCACAAGCACTGAGTCTTGTAAAAGGCCCAGAAATGGTAAGAGGAGAAAATGGGGGAGGGGAAGAACTAGCATGTTTTGAATTCATGCCATGTGTTATGTGCTTTACAGATAGAACTGTTCATGGGGTTGGCTACTCAGTGTTGTTCAATGACGAAATAGCTTTATTACTGTTCTCACTCCTGCTTTCCAAACTAGCTCTGTTAGTTTCCTCATCCCTGAAAGGTAATCTTGCTTAAATACCAGCACTTTTGGGTCACTCAGATCTCATTTTTAAGTATTAAAAATCTGATGGATATTGAAGTTCCAATCTGTCATCAGATTCAAGTCTTCTACCCTCCTTGATATTAGAACTTCCAGGTGAGGCAAGAGAGGGAAGGTCTATTTTTATTTTTATTTTATTTATTTGTTTGTTTGTTTGTTTGTTTTTAGGCAAGGCAACCCTTGACCTTACAGATTGCGAGGAGACCTTGTCAGCTTACAATCCCTTATTTTTATGCCTACAGCACCTGGTCTTCCTCGGTGGTCTCCCATCCAAGTACTAACCAGGCCCGACCCTGCTTAACTTCCGAGATCAGACGGGATTGGGCTTGTTCAGGATGGGGAAGGTCTATTTTTAAACTATTCCCCCAGATTCTTGACCCCCAGTTGTAACCATGAGGGGTCATGGCAAACTCACCACTTGCAGACTACTCTCTTAGAAAGGATATTTTTTGCCTGAATTTGTTCATAAATTTTTCTGGATTACAATTCCTCCTTATCAGTTTTATTGAGAGTTAAATGCCTCATTTTGAATTGTTTTGATCATAATCAATTTTTTTTTAAATTAGGTGGAGAGCATTTTACCAATTCACCCGAGGCCACAGCAAGTGATATTCCTGGGATCTGAAACCGCATATTTGAAATCCAGAGTCCAAGCTTCTTTGTGAGCATAAACACAAATAAATAAATAAGTTTCACACCTTTAATTTAGCTTTTTCTCTCATCCAGGTTTGAGTTATTAGATCATCACCTTTAAAACAACTGATACCATTAAAGAGTCAACACAAAAAAGTGTTTATAAGTAAAGTGTTTATTTTATATATTAAAAATAATCCAGTAAATATTAAATATTATAGATGAAATAAATTTACATGATTTTCTCCATTTAAGGGTAATATTTTAAAAATAAAAATTGGTTTGCTAGAGAAGATCAGAATGCAGATTGAGGGCTTTCAAAGACTTGAATGTTTGGACACATTGGGGGCAATCTAGTAATTCTCAAACAAAAATAAAAACCTAAGATAATTCCTGGAGGAAATATTAGTTACTGAGGCATTCTTACAGCTGTTCAGAGCTGGTAGAACCATATCACATGCACACAGCTGGATTTGAAGAACATCAAGTATGGTTGGGAGGTAGGGAAAAAGGAGCGGATATAGAGGTGGCTTAGATGTGGCTTAGAGGTGGCTTAGAGGTGTCTGATTGACCCTCCTTCCATAAAACCATTCACCCCCTTTCAGTTCTCTGCCTGATATAAAATGAGATATTGCATTACCAATGAGAAAGTTGTAACAAGTAAAAGTGCATTTCAAAGCCATTTCCTTTGAATTGTCTGGAATCAAAGAAAAGATTTTTAAAAACTTAGGAAAACAATCAAATACTGATAAAAATTCCATGTTCAGAAGATATCGATTCTTAAAGTTATATAAGTTCAGTAAGTTGCTTTCTAATACCCTCCACCCCTCACTTCTGCACTGAAATCCTGTCTCACTCCCTTTTGGTTCATTATTGAAATCTGTTTTAGGAGCAGATAATAAGGGAGTGAGGGTGAAAGCAATAGTCACCTATTAAATTATCATGAACTGTTTTAGCGTTTTGAATGAGTAATGGTCCCAAACTATAAGTGTTCAGTAACATGTAGTATTTACGTCAGTGTAATATTTATGTTAGGAGTGTTTGCTATCTCAATTTTCCTTTAGCTGGTGAAGAGAAATCAACAGCTATTGGTGACAACACTGGATAATATATTTAACCTGGTTTGTGTGGCTTCCAGAGCAGAAGGTGTCCTCATAAGAAATACCTTAAAGAAAATCTTGGGAATGTGTATACTGTGTTTCTATCAACATCAGTGAGCCAATCATTCCTTTAGAGTAAGCAGATATTTTTGGCTGAGGGTATCTGAAGATTACAGACTGATGATTACAGCTATTATACATCCAATATCAGTTCTCATTCTAAGTTTTGTTGATAGGGCTGTGGTGACCTGAGAAGAAGCATTTTGATGATATGGGGTAAAGGTCTGCTTTATATAAGGCTGAAGTTTGAAGTGCATTATGTGATAGAAATTTAAGGAATCAGAGGGTTCTGTGAGATGAAATCTACCTTTGGAAATGTTGAAAGGAATGACTTAAATCTTTTTTTTTTTTTTTTTGTCAACAGAATCAGGTCGAGGAAGACAGATCCAGCAATGAATTAAATTCAGAATAGTAGCTTTATCAGTCAGGGCTCTCCAGAGAAATAGAACCAACAGGATATAAAAGGAGATTTATTATGAGGAATTGGGTCATGCAATTATGGAAACTGAGAAGTCCTATGATCTGCAAGCTGGAGACTCAGGAAAGCCAGTGGTGTGATTCAGTTAGAGTCTGAAAGGCTGAGAATCACGGGATCAGTGATGTAAATCCCAGTCTGAGAGCAAGAGAAGGTGAGATGAGATGTCCCAGCTCAAGCAACGAGGCAGATAAAAGGGGCAAAGGACTCCTTCCTCCGCCTTTTTGTTCTATGCAGGCCCTTAAGAGATTGGATAATGCCCATCCATGCTGGAGAGGACCATCTACTCTACTGAGACAACCAGTTCAAATGCTAATCTCACCCAGGAACACCCTGTGCAGACACACCCCGCAATAATGTTTTAGGAGAAACCTGGGCATCCCCTGATGAATTCAAGTTGATACCATAAAATTAACTACCATAGATGCTAAGAGAAAAAAGAACTAGAGAGTTTGTTTTTCCTTAAGTGGCAGAAGACCTAAGGTGGGGGTGGGGGGTTAAAAAGAGAATGAAAATCATGGAGTTGTATGTTGAAACCCTTTATTCAGTTAATATTGGGTATCAAAGTACAACAAAAAGCAAGATTGGAAGTAAGCAAGGAGAAAGTGTACCAGGGAATCAGAAAATCCTGTTCTGTTGTCTTGGACAAACGAGTCCATGTCTGCAGTAATCAGCTTTATCAGAGAGACTGGGGAGGATACTGTTTACCCTCAGCAGCTGTCTGTTTCTGGGCAATTCCTGTGAACCCTCAGTTGAAGGCCTACCGATGGAATGGACATGCAGTGGTCAAAGGAAAATGGTGTATGCCTTTATAATTAAGAACCATGAATCTAAGGATCATCTTGGCATGTTGCTGCCTTGTCAGTTATTAGCAGTACATGATAATGTTCTTTCCATCATGGTTTAAGGGCAGAGTTTATTCCCCGAAGAGCAACTTTCCAGGCTTCAGATCCTGCAGATGCTGCTTAGGTAGCTGTTCTGATAATGGAGCTTGCATCTGTTGGTGATAAAGCTAGAGACATCATAAGAGTGCCCTGTAGTATCTAATCACATCAGTTTGTAGAATCTGAGGTGGGAAATGAAATTCCCAAACACATGGCATGGCTCGTTATTAGCTCGGGGAGAGATGATTTCTGGATCCTAGAAGCAGTTGATCTTGTTGCTATCAAGTCCTTAGGTCACATGGTCATGGGCAAAACATAAATTCCAACTTACATACATATTATGTTAGGATAGCAAACAAGATACTTTGAATCATAATAATGTGTTATCTTGAGATAAAATTTTTTGGAGTTAAAGAAATAGAAACACAAGGTCAAGGATTCAAGGCATGATGTAAAATTTCTTTCTGTTAAAACAATGTTAAGGGATTATTTGAAAGGGTAGATATCAAACTGCTGAGGTCTTTAGATTCCTCTGGATACATTTAAAAGACTAATACAATAAAGTTATTTTAAAATATCGATATTTACGATGTGACAAATTGCATTTTTTATAAATACTTAAATTCATAGTTAAAAATTTGAGGTCAGCTTTCAGGTGAGTGAGGCAATACTGTTTCTCAAAATTCTTTTAGAGTGTTTGAGACTGAAAACTTTGAAGGATTCAAGATCTAGAGCACTAATTCTCAACGCAGGCTATACTTTAGAATCACTTGGGGAGCATCTAAAAAACATAGATGGCTGGGTGCATTAATTGCTTTAGGGTGGGGCCTGGGCTACCGATACTGCTGCTGGAGGCCACAAGTAAGCAGATCATTCTCCTTTAGCCACTGAAGCCTCTGCCAGGACTGGTACAGAAGCAGCCTGCCAGCCAAGATGTTTAGGAAATAATATTAATCAAAAAGAAGCTAAACTTGTCATATGATAGAATTTTGACTAGCTAAATATGTGTTTGAAAATGAAGATGTTGAAAGAAAATACAGTTGAGGTCTACTTATATGCAGATTTTTTTCAAGAAATACTGTAAATGTATTTCATTTTCCTTATGGTTTTCTTCATATTTTCTTTTCTGTAGCTTACTTTATTGTAAGAATACAGTATATAATATATATAACATATAAAATTGTGTTAATCAACTGTTTATGTTATCGATAAGGCTTCCAGCCAATAGTAGGCTATTAGCTGTCAGTTTTTTGGGGAGTCAAAAGTTATACTTGGGATTTTTGACTATGCTTCTTTAGTAGTGATAAAATTACCTCTTGGTATTGGGATTGCAGATAATTTTTTTTCTGTTTTTTAGTACTTTTCTTTTTTTTATAGTAAATGTTTATGATTTTTTGCTTATCAGAAAAAGAATATACTCTATAAAATAATATTAAATGTCAACTGTAATTGAAAAATAAATTTTTAAAAAAATTTTTTAAAGAAAAAGCATATTCCAAAGACAAATAATGAGTGTACCCCTTAAAAATAAATTTGCCACATTTAATTTCTCCCCAAAGGCCCAATCACAGGTAGTAAATGATATTATCAAAACTGCTGCTAATCATTGTGTGTCTCTGATTCCATGTGATCTGACATTAAGCAAGTATGTTAAATGAATAAACTTAAAAATTTTTAGATGTCCTTTTGTCTGGTTTCATTGTGATTGTGACTTGATTTATCACTTAAGAAAAAAATAGTGAAAAAACAAAAAGTATAATAGGTCCCACTTGGGAATATAAACCCATGCATTTATCGAGTTATTGATATTCACTATGACTATTTCAAAAGAAAAATTTCTACCTGTTTTTTTTTATTTCCAAGTTTTTCTATCAATAAATTTATTTTCTTTTCATCTAATTCCAAAAGGCTGTTTCTTCACAGGATGTTTGTTATGCTTGTTGCTCATGAAGGTGTTATCTCTATGGTACCTGGGCACAGAACCTGGAGGTTATGAGATAAGGCTGTTTCCTTGGAGGTGACCTATTCTCCACGTGGTACTCTAAAGATATATTAGGTTTTGTCTTCTCAAACAGAATATAAATTAGTTTCTTTGACTCTCAAGCTGTCTGAAAATAAATCAAAATGCCTATTTGGTGCTCTGATCTCAGATTGATCAGGTTAAATGAAAGTAAGTAAAAGTATATAATATATGTATATAACACACACATATAATGCTGTGACAAAGTTGGCACTCATAGGGTTTTTGTGACTAGTCACTTCTTTTGGTCACAATTCAAAGGTTCAGAAAGTTCCTTTGTAAGGGTTACTACTTTGAGATGATGGTCTATGTCCTTAATGCACTTTGTTTTCTAATTCCCTCAATTTCTGCTCTTTCATGACCCCGTGTCTTTATTTATTTTACTCTCTACTGGAGGAAGAGGGCGAATGGGGCAAGCATTCCCTTTGGGGTCATACAGATGTGTCTTCAAACCATTGGTTATAATTTATTAGTTAAATGACCTTGGGAAAGTTATTTATATTCCTCGAGGCTTTGTTTCTTTATCTTTAACCTGACAGTAGCAGCAGTGAATATCTCACAGAATTCTGGGACAATTCTTGTGAAGGACTTAGTAAGTATTCAAAAAGCATCTAACTCTTCTCTTTTTCACCCTCTTTTAGTCCATTTGGGCTGCTATAATAAAAAAAAATCAGAGATTGAGTGGCTTAGAAACAACATAAATTTATTTCTCATGGTTCTGGACGCTGGGAAGTCCAAGATCAAGGTGCATTGGCAAGACACGGCATCTGGGTGTCTAACGAAAGCCCGCTTCCTGTTCATAGCTGTCTGCTTGGTGTGTCCTCCTGGCAGAAGGGATGAGGGAGTGCTCTCACTAATCCCATTCATGAGGGTCCCACCCTCATGACCTAATCACCTCCACAAGGCCTCATCTCCAAATGCTATCAGTTTGGGTGTTAGGATTTAACATATGACTTTTGAGGAGACAGACTTTCAGTCTGCAGAACCTTTCTTCAACTCTTGTATTTTTATAAACACATAGGCTTTAGATGGAAAAAGGTAGGAGCATTGTCTTAGGCATTCAGAGAAGGGACGGTGTGAAAAAGCAGGACCAGTTCTTACCCAGTGGCAATGGAAAGGTCAGGAGACATCTTGGCCCTTGGGCATACTTCTAACTTTCACCTGCCTCCTGTTCAACTTCAGAAATGGGAACATTCACAAATTGGATCAGCTTTTTGCCTGGGGCCAGGGTCAAAAAAAGAGACACTCCCAGACTGCACCCCCACCCCCGCCCCCCAGCCTTCTGGAGCACAGCCACCTACGATCTCGTGTCCTCCACTCACCTCCTAGAGCCAGTGCACTGCATGACCTTCAACCCCTGGGACACTAGTGAGCTTGCTTGTGTTGGCCAGGGGGCCCTCACCTTGTGGCTCATGCAGCACTGCGGGCCCAACATCAACCTCCAGGTGTGCCAAGAGCCCATCCCTGAGGCAGTGGGAGTAGGTGAGCTGACCTCACTGTGCTGGTCACACTGGGTGCCTGGCCTGGGAAAAGGCTCTGTCAAGAAACTGGGTTAGCAGAGAACGTGCTCGGCCAGGATGGTTAGGCAGGCCAAGCCCCTCCACACCAGACAGGCCCAGGACTGTTTGTTTGAATCATCTAGACCCTGAACAAATGTAAAGGGCTTGTTGTTAGCTCTTTGCCTGAGTATTTTTGATATTTCTGCCAGTATAGTTGAAATAAACGTGAGCATTATTAAAAAAAAAAAACAAACAAACTAGGCAGGATCTGCCGGCCCGGGCAGGACTGCAGCCTGGCCTTGTGGAGCACAGCCACCTACAAGCTTTTTTTTTTTGATTGGTACTGCAACATACAACATGTTCCCATGGATACCTTTTGCTCATCTGAGAAATAAAACACAGCTAATAGAGTGTATTTTTCATATTGCCCTAATTATCTAAGTGCCAAATGTTAAATTATAGATATTTAAGTGATCTAAACTTCAAGAGTTGGAAGCAGTTTCAAAATTCAATTAAATCCTAATTATTTATTTTACTAATTACCTAAATAAAACTGATTTCTTTATTAGTGAACTCACTAATTGGGGAAAATGAATGTTAACAATTTTGATTGTCATATTTTTCATGGAAATAAGTTTGTGGTTGTAAACAATATGAGAATGGAGCAAAATAAGATCATTTCATTTTTTAAAAACATATGACTACAAAATTTGTATCATTTCCAAAATTTTGTTCCACAGTACGTATCAACACATGCATAATACTTAGTCTGCATTTTGGTTCCAATCCCAGTCTTAACTGAAGCTTGTTCAAATGGCAAATGGATCTCTTGTTTTCTTGTCTTTCTTGCTTATTGCTTCTTCATTTCACTGTTTATGATCCTGGAAGGCAAAAAAGAAGAGAGATTCAAATGACTTTCTTTTTAGCACTTGTGGCTCAAGTTGAGTGTGGGAAGATATTGAAAGTACAATAAGGATAAGTATGAAAAGACGGTGGATGAAGCAGGCCGAAGAGCGGGTGCTGGATTATATCCACCCATGGGCTGTTTGTAGAAGAGAAGAATTGTGTCAGGAGTGAAGTTTTCAGAAGTCAGAAGGTCATAATCCAGGTACACATCGGAGAGAGGAAAAAATGAGATGAAACTGTTATGGCCTGAATTGTGTCCCCGTTCCCTCCCCACAAATTCATATGTTGAAATCCTAACCCTTAGTATCTCAGATGGTAGCTGTATTTGGAGATAGGGTCTTTAAAGAGGTGATTAACATAAGATATGGTCAGTGGAGTGAGCCTTAATCCAATGCCCCTCCTTTCAGGAAGAGGAGATTAAGACACAGACAGACATAGAGGAATGGCCATGTGAAGACAAGGAGAAGCAGGCTATCTACAAGCCAAGGAGAGAGGCCTCAGAAGAAACCAAGCCTGCTAACATTTTGATCTTGGACTTTTAGCATCCAGAACTGTGAGGAGATAAATTTCTGTTGTTTAGCACCCATTCTGTGGTACTTTGCTACAGCAGCCCTAGAAAACTAAAGCAGGGACCAATTAGGTTAGCAAATTGTTATCTGTACTGTGATAGTGCCTCCGTCCATAACCCTCACCCTAAACCTGACCCTATAAATTTTATCAATAAATTTACTAAAGTCGCAAAATGTTTGGAAGCTGATGGAGCAGAGGAATGAAGGTGAATCCAGCATGAGAAATGGAGTTACATGTAATACTATTAAGAGTCATAGGACGATTGTAGAAAATTCTCAAGGTGGACATTTCAGCCTTTGAGGCAGTACACTGAGAATGTATGTTTCAGTCAGAGAGTGAAAAGGAAGAGTCTGCTGAACTCTTTGTGAGAGCACAGGCTCGAGATTGATGTTTAAATTATGCTCCATTGATGAGCAATTTCTTAAGGAAAAGGTTTTTAACCTGAACTGAGGTATAACTTTTGGAGCAGTATGGGAAAATGGGACAGGCACTTAACCAGCCAGATTAAGGAAGGAAGTGGACCTTTGACATCAAAGGAAGCTGAATTGTTGTGGCCTGGTATTCTCAATCTTATTTTGAAGTGGAG